ATCAGGTACAGGACATGGCAAATTTTCTCAAAGAAAAAAAAATCTGAAATAATGCTGTAAAATATACCTGAAAGTCAATAATATGGAAGGTTGAAATTTGCTGATTTGTATACAAACACTTTAAATTACATAATTATATTTCTACTCCAATTCTTTCTCTTTTTTTTTAAAATATAAACATTTAAATGGTGGTTGTCACAAAAACTTGACCGATTTATTCAAACATAAATTAAATACTGTTTTTCTTCAGAACAGTAAAAAAAAAAAATTATAATGAATATGTTATATGGTGCATATTTAGCAAAATGCTCCTCTCTAGAGTTCATTTTTGTAGCTGACTAATGAGTTTATGGTCACCAAATCTGTTTTTCTGTGGTAAATGTGACGTTACGTGACGTATTGTTTACACGCTATTGTCGTCTTTCCGCATTTGAAACACTGATTGAGCGACAGGATATGGGTTTCGGTAAGTTGTACTCTTTCTTTTAACAAACCTTCGGATGTTCATTAATGTTTATTTCATGTTGTAACTGCTATTAAAGCAGAGGAGATGATCAGTTCAGCTTTGCGCTGGCGCTTCTAACTGAGGCACAACAGTGATCTGTCACTCCACATTAAACGGCGGCAAAATGGCATTTAATATTTGAATATTGTAATAAAATGGACAGAATTTGAAATCTGAGACTTTGTTTCATATCAAAAGTAACAATCACAAAGCTTTTTGCAATTTATTGGATGGAAGGCGCGCTATAATTCTTGGGATTTATGAATCGATATAGTTTCATAAAAATGAGAATCGATTAAAATATTAAAATCGAGAATATAAGATATTTTTTACCCAGCCCTAATAATTGAATACATTAATAGGAGAATGAACCTAATATCGTCTTGACTATCGACAAAGACATCTGCTATCGTCGATATCTCTGACTATCCTCGATACACGATTCTATCGTCTATCGGCACAACCCTAATCTTTCAAAAGTTTTTTTTATTAATAAATTTTTCATGAGCAGCAAATCAGCATATTAGAGTGATTTCTGAAGGATCATGTGACACTGAAGTAATGGCTGCTGAAAAATCAGCTTTGCCATCACATCAATAAATTACATTTCAAAATATGTTAAAATAAAGATGTTATTTTAAATTGTAATATTTAACAACTTTTGTGTTTTTTTTTTGTATATTTGAATCAAATAAATACAGCCTTGGCAATAAGAGACTTCTTTCAGAAAATTTTTTTTAAAAATTACCGACCCCAAACTTTTAAACGGTAGATTTAAAAAATAAATAAATAAAGGCTGAAATAAACTGTGTTGTGTGCACAGCTTACTTCAGTGATCCACCAAATGCATGAAGGAATAAAGATGTTAATGGCATTAAATTACTTTGAATGTTATAATATGATATCAAACCTGGAGTAAGAGTGATTAATATTCATTCATTTATCAGGTGCTTTTATCCAAAGCAACAAAAGCAAGTCATTCTAGGAAGAAAGTAACAGGAGAAGTGCCGCAGGAATTACAGAGAGAGATGCAAAAGTATAAGTCGGAGATGTATAAGTATAAGTCGGAGATGTCGGAGATATAGAGTTGGAGATGAGACAAAAGAAAATGGGTAGGGAGTGTTTTTAAAGAGTAAGAAAGTAAACACACTAACAGTTTTGAGTCAAGAGCTCCTGGAAGAATTGTATCTTGAGGCATTTTTGAAAGTAGAGACTAGAAAGAGATTCAGCTCTTCTGATGGAGTTGGCAGCACTCATAAAGAGAGGCCGTGATTCACCATGCTTGTCTGTGGGCAGGTTGTATATCAGCAGAGAGATCTTGTTCAGTGTGCAGTGTTTGCTCCTTTTATGAGAGGGAATGTAAACACACTGGTTTTTATTGCTGCAGGAATCATATGATGAGGAAGAAGCTGATTCTGTTTTTCAAGAGGAGGAACCATGCACGCAAACAGCGGGTAAGTGTCTCTCTCTCTCTTGTGCTGTGTCAGTGAATGCATGTGTTTGAGTGCATGTTGAGTAAGTGCTCCTCCATCAGGTGTGGTGACTGAAGTTACAGAGAAACTAGAATATTTGTGGAAAAATCAAGAATGATGTAAGCACATAAATTTGCAGGTGCAAGTTTTTCTTTTGTTTACGCATAGAAATACATCTGCTTGTGTGCACTTTATGATCACGTTTAGTTTGTTAGTTAATAAATGGATGTGTGGGGCAAATATTTATAAAGCTAGATGGAGATGTTACTTTATGATTAATTGATAAAGACAAATAAGTAACAGATACTAATCATACGTTGTGGGAATAGTGATCTGTGAGTCATTTCATTTGCATAAGGAGTTCCATGTTAATCTCTGCAGTTTATTGAACATGCCCTTATTTGCATATCAGTCAAATTTTTTACTTATGATTTATAATTTGTCATCTCTGTCTGGACTTACATTGTCAGAAGAGGTTAGATGTTCTTATCATGTATCTTATGTTATGATGCCTCTAAATCTGTGGTCTAACTAAATTAGGGTTGTAACGTTATACCGGTATGACGGTTTATCACGGTTATAATACCGTGAACATTTGCATAACTACATTTAAAAAAAACAAATGAATGAAAAAAAAATCGCACCTGCGCATATGCAGCTTCTTTTCTCTCGGCTGCTTACACACACATGCAGCGGAGAAAATGGCAGAGACACAGATTATATCTAATCTCCATCCCCCGCCGAAAAAGAAGTTAAAATCTGCAGTATGGGAATACTTCTGATATTTTAAAAAAAATGAACGTGGGGTTGTCCATGAGGACGGATATCCAATTAGCAAAAAATGTGGACGCAAAGTGGCTGCAAAAGAAGTCAATACATCCAAAGTGTTCGCTCATATTTGTGAACTCTATCCCTCCGTGCAGATAAAGGTATGTCGCATTTATAACAAGTTATAAGTTCAGGCCGTATGATTTTCGTGAGGCAGAGGGAATCGTGAACATGGAATTTACAGTATAACGCGGATGTCGCGTAAAACACGCAATCTGATGGATAGATACATCAAAAGTATATGTAATATGTGTCTGTGAATATTAAAATGCAAAGAAACTGTTATATAAATAATCTGCTTGTTTCTGCATGTCTCCGAGTAGCTCTGTTTTATGTACTACATACTGAAGTACGCACGACGCTAAAAGTGTTTTCAGCATCTGCTTAAACATGAACATCAGCAGAGCTGCTCTGAGAGAAAACTTCAATAAACATTTCCTAGTTTTATTTGAGAAAAACCATTGTCAAATACACTCTGAAACTCAAAGGTCTGCCACAATCCGTCAAAATAAAAATTCGATTTAACTTGATATTATGACAGAAATATATTAGCATTGTACAATGGAATGTACTTCAAAGTTATAATAACAACAACAATAATAATATTCTTTATAATAAGATAATTATTTTAAATATGGGCTTTAAGAAATATCATGTTTGTTAGCTCTTTGCCAAAAATAAAAGTTGTTAAAGTTTCATTTGATAACATTTTACAATCCGTTAAAATGTTAAGGTTTTATGCATTAATTTGATTACCTTGGTTTTTGACAATATATTTGTATTAAACCACAAAACACAGAAAAAAAGAGAAAAAAATTATTATGATTATGATATGATTTCATAGGTCACTATTATTATTAAAACTGTAATAAATTATTAATAATAAAAGGTGGTAAAGGTTAATGAATTCAATTGATTAATTGATTGTTTTTGGTTATTAAAATGTGAATAAACCATTAAAGGTGACATATCATGAAAATATGACTTTTTCAGGTTTTAAGTGCTATAATCAGGTCCCAGGTCCATCTACCAACCAAGGAAACGTGAAAAAGATTAACCCAGTAACTTTGTTTTGGGAAGCCTTTTTCT